CGTATATCCGGGGGGGGGGCCTCTCCTGTGGTGGTCCCTTCCTCGTATGTGTTTGCCTGGCACTGGCACTTAACAATCTTAAGCTAAGCATCAGGAAGAGACATTTTATTTTCCTCTGTAGCCTGGCACTGGCACTTAACAATCTTAAGCATCGGGAAGAGACATTTTATTTTCCTCTGTGGCCTAGTAGGTGTTTACAAAATAATTGTTTATTCATTTATGCTCCGCCTTTCACTCTAACAGGGGACCAAATGCGGTTAACAGCGTTTATCCCAACAACACCTCAGTGTAGCAGGTTAGGGTGAACGCACGTGAAACCCTGGATCCTCAGACGACTTAGGCCAAAAACAGGACTTTGAAACGTGTCCAGGAACAAACTGGCTACTGGTATCGCTCTAGCAAAATCCAATCATTCCTCCTCCTTCCGGCTGACATTTCTAAACAGTCTTCAGTGGAGGACTTCACCTCCCCCCTGCAACAGTATCCATGGTAACCAGGAAGTCCCATCTCCAGATCAGTCTAGTTACTGTACTAGTTTAAAAAAAAAATTGCAGCTCATGTTAGGTCTTGGTTTATACGTGAAGGTGAATGAGGCGGCAGAAGAGCCCTGAGGGGGTAGAAAAGACTGCTTTGTTTTACAACAGGGGTGTCCCCCCCCCCATGCCACAGTGCCGCACCAACACTTTTTCTGGTGCCCCCCAAGTGTCTTTAGGAAGTAGGCGGGGCTTTTGTCAAGGAATCCTTCTGATTGGCCATTGGAGATCAGATTGGCTATGTAGATTTTTTTAAAAAAATGTAGCTTTGGCAGCAGCTGCCCCAACAGCAGAAGGATCTTCACTGGGTGCGGTCAGTCGGCGTGCTGGGAGCGGTTTAAATTGCTCCAGCCCTGATGCAGTCTTTTTTAACCTGGAGAATCGCGATCACACTCACCTCCTTGCTCTGGATCACTGCGCTGTTGTTTTTTTCTCTCTCAGTTTGGGCGTGCGCACAGGCAGCCATCTGTGGAACTAAAACTTTCGCGCCTGCGCAGAACAGCTATTTTCTCTTCAACCCGACTGCTGTAACGCTTCCCTTTAAACTTTAAAGGAACACTTCCCTTTAAACGTTTACCGCCGAAAATGGCCTCCGTGAGATCCCGAACTCGTCTAAAGGCTAAAACTAGGCACCATTTAAACATTGTTTTTAATAACCCTGTAGCGGACCTCCGCCTATGCGCACACCGCCAACGCTTTTTTTAAAATGGCGGGCGAAAAGCGTAAGCCTCGGGCAGCTTTCAAGCGGGGAGGGGGTTTAAATCGGAAGTGGCTCGACACCGGAGGAGCGATCACACAGGGGGGAAATGCGGCCGGAACCGGAGAATCAGGAAAACACCCCTTGGGGACCTGGTATCGAAATACTCCGGATTAAAGCAGTTTTGAGCCGGAAAGCGACAGCTGGGGATGGGAGGCAGATGTTGACTGTGTAATCACACAGATAAAATCCGTTTCTGAGGTGGG